TAATAATAAAATTTGTTTAATTTTTTTCAGAGAAAATATTTTAAAATTGCTATATATAAAAGTACCATGACGTCTGTACTCTGAAATAACCAGAGGCTGACTAGGAGACTGAGGCTGCAGCCTTATTCTACTCATTGGTCCAACACGGTATGGTTCAGGGCAGTGGTTTTCAAATTCTTTCTTTGCCCATCTACAGAAGAAATATATTTTACATCTTGTCTACGAGAAGCTTCATCAAACAGCAATCACTAATATTACCTGAGATACAGACAGATTGTTTTTGTTTGGTTGGTTTTGGCTGTGCTTGGGATTGAACCCAAGGCTTCATACATGCTGGACCACCACTAACCACTGAGCCACATTCCCAATACCTTCCTATTCTGCTGGTCAAAACCCACTCATTATATTAGCTTCTGTTCTGTGGAAAGTATAAAGCATTCCAACCAAGGGTTTTAATGTAGACTGTTTTTTTTTTGTTTTTTTTTTTGCGCCCATTCTGTTGAATGCTAACTGTAAGAGTCTGATTATGATGCTGAATAAATGTGTCCTTTAAAAAAATACACACCACCAGGAGACTGAGGCAGGAGGATTGCAAGTTCAAGGCCAGCCTTAGTTCCTTAGTGAGACACTATCTCAAAATAAAAAATAAAAAGGGCTGGGGATGTAGTTCAGTAGTAAAGCACCCATGGGTTCAATCTCCAGTACCAAAAAAAAAAAAAAATCTACAAAATTGATTTGGTGAATCATCATTATGATTTTACTATTTCAATATGTAAGCCTACTACATCAAGACCACAGTTTTAAAATATTGGCTTAAGGGGGCTTGGGCTTATGTCCAGTTTAATTCTAAGTCTTATATCTAAAGAAAATTGAGGTTACTAAAATGCAGAAGGCTGGAAGGGTGTGGTTGGGTGTTGTGGGGAATGCAGAGCCAGCAGAGGGAAGGACTCCTTCTGTACTCAGAGGTCCTGCTCCACTCACTCCTCTCTGATGTTTCCCTCATTCACAACCTAAAAGGCAGCTTAACTGTAGGTTGCTACACCTTCTCTGAATATACATTAGAAGTTTAAAATAATGGTGATGGTGATGAAGATAACGTAGTATAAGAAAAGAAGTTCAGAGTAAGGGCTTCCTGAAATCAAGATAAGGACAAAACCCAATCACAGAGTAAGCAATGTTTCTCAAGGTAAGTCAGAATCAATTGGCGGGAGACCCAGAAATCTGTATTTTAACAGCCCTGTAGGTGATTCATATTCATATTCATTCATTCTCTCCCTCTCCATTTTTTATTTTTTTGCAGGTGATTCGTATACACTCTGAAGGACTGTACCTAAAAGAAATGTACATAAAAGAGATGAAATTAATCCTGAATGTTCTGTTTTGGAATTCAGACAGAGTTGGCTAATGACATTTAGAGGACTCCCTAACTCTAAAATGAAACTTGTAAATAATAGAGGGTGTTCAGTTAGATAAACCCAAATTTCTCTATGACAAATTTCACAGAATGCTTGTTATTATGGTCAACAACCTTGTGAGGGCAATCTAGAGTTTAAGTGACTGCACATAGGTTCCACGGTGGGTCCAGGATTTCTGATTGCCAGGCTATTGTTCCTTTCCATTATGGTATCCAAAAAAAGAAAAAAGAAAGAAAGAAGGAAAAGGAAGGAAGGAAGGAAGGAAGGAAGGAAGGAAGGAAGGAAGGAAGGAAGGAAGGAAGGAAGGAAGAAATTTGTGTTTAAGATGGAATTTTGTGAACAAAAGAAGAAAATCAAAACATAAATATCTGAAACACTGAGATACTCTCTCTGACCCATCATTGGCAAAAGTTAGAAAGTCTGACTATGAATTCTCACTGAAGGTGTGTAGCTTTGGGAAGTGTCATAAGCCTGCTGGAGAGTATATAAATTGGAGCCATCATTTGAGAGCAATTTGGCAGTACCCAATAACACTGAAGATGCATAGACTCTAGGCTTTGATCCAGGGAAAGCTTTGAAATGTATCCAACATGTTTATTGCCATGTTCTGTGATGAAAGGGAGATCCATTTCCACGGAATGTGAGCTTTCTTAAATTTGAAAGATTCTAAGAAAAAATATACGACTTTATAAATGTTAAAGTAAAAATTTATTTAGAAACAAAAGAACAAATTACAGTAAATTTATGAAGTAAGTTAAAATGAAACCTATCGTGCATAAGCTGATTAAAACATTCCCAGAGCTGATGAATAACACTGATACTATTTGTTGCATACCCCCCAAAGTATCAAAGAATAACATATGGAAGAATAACAATAAGGACATTTCACTTCTGTTCCTCACCCAGGACCCTTCACAGAGCTCCACGGATCAGAGAGATCCATGGGGAGAGGCTGGTAGGGCTTCTATAATGGCAAGTTTTCTTCATGTTACAGGGGGAGCAATTCAAGGGTTGTCTAATCACTGAACAAAATGGACCAGTGTATTGACTCTGTAACCAGACTGCTAGTGTAACTTGCTGCAAGCTATGAAATCTCTCTGAACTTTATTTTCTCCTACCCCTGGGAGTGGTGCTTCTAACCCTACTTGAGAGAGCCATTGTGATGATTAAATATGATAATACATCAAGAGTTCCTGCCACATAATAGGCATTCTATTTTTAAATATTTATTTTTTAGTTATACCTTTTTAAAATATTTTATTAGTTATTGCTGGACCTTTATTTATTTATTTGTTTATATGTGGTGCTGAGGATCAAACCCAGGACCTCACACGTGCTAGGCGAGCACTCTACCGCTGAGCCACAACCCCAGCCCTGTAGTAGGTATTCTATAGCACACTAGTCGTCATTATTGCTAATAGGGCAAGATATTCATTTTAGAAACGTCATTCTGACTACTGTCTAGAGTGTGATAAATCTAAACACAAAGATGCAAATCTAATATTGAAAACTAAACAAGAAGATACAATTTGATATAGTACAAGAGATAGGTGGTAGTTTGAACTCAGCACCAGAAGCATGAATGCTATAGTCAACTTTCTATATGCATATGTATTTTTTTAATTATCATTGCTGATTTTCAGATTCACCCACTGATTTCCCTTTTCTTTACCATATTACTAGGCTGTAGTTCCTGCTTACAAAATAACCCTTTGGCTTAAACAAGTGGGGAAAAAGAAGTCAGGATTCCCACTGAGACTTAAACCCCAGTTCTTTAAATGCACATCATCCTGTGGGGTGGGAGAGAGAGGGGAGAATGAAGGCAAGACAGAAAAATGTCCCGAGAAAAAAGTGAACCAATTCTTTGCTATGTTTGAACATTTGGAAAGGGTAGGTGTAGTTAAAAACAAGGTTTGCAATGGGATGCACATCAATGTGGGGAACATGCCTTGTTTTCCAGGTTTTTAAATCAACCCACCAAAGGCATACTTATTTTGTTAAAGCCCATCACTCCAAAGGCAGTAAGTTTCCAACCTTTTCTTTTTTCAAGGTTCAAGAAGTGTTCAAGATATTTTCTAGTCTGTCTTGAGAACAGTTGTACAATACTTTATCTATTTTTATTTATTTTGTGGGACTGGAGATTAAACCCCGGGGAACTCTATCACTGAGCTACAACCCATCCTTCCTATTTTTATTTTGAGACAGGATTTCTCTAAGTTGCCAATGCTGGCCTTGAAGTTAAGATCCTCCTACCTCAGCCTCCTGGGTTGCTGGGATTATAGGCATGTACCATCACAACCTGCTTTACAATCCTTTTAAGCTATTTGTCCCCTTGACAACTTAAAAAAAATTTTTTTTTAGTTGTAGATGGACACAATACCTTTGTTTTATTTATTATTTTTATGTGGTGCAGAGAGTTGAACCCAGTGCCTCACATGTGCTAGGCAAGCCCCATCTCTTAACAGCTTTTCCAGTTTATCTTTGGGCAGGAAATTTTCTTACTATCCATCTGGTAAAATTCTGATCCTTCTCAAAAATTCAGCTCATTTACCTCCTTCTATAGACTACCACTTCCACTCATTGCATTCATCTACATGTACTGGTTTATTTTGCAGTGATCTTTTTCTGGCCAGTCTCCCTTTCTAGACCATAAGCTTTTTAAGGGAGGGATCACTGTTTAATTTCCACCTTGAAATGACGTGTAGCATGAAAGTTTAGTGCATAGAGTCAGGACTTTTGGGTTTAAATCTTGTATCACTGAACAGGTCATTTATTCTTTCTCTAAATTTTCTTATCTGTAAAATGCATATAACAGTGGCAACTTTGAGTAATTAGTTCTCACTTCTACCTTTTATTGTTTAACAAGGTAGAAACATTTTTCACGAGCTTCACTGAGTTATGGGGAAAATTATTTTTTGGTATAAATTTAGAATATAGCAGAATATATTAAAGGGTCATTGTTTTCCGATGAAACAGATGCAGATAACTGTGTTGGAAAAAGGAGAGACTCAAGATTCTGGCAGGCAACGCTTGTTATTTCTCCATTCTGTCTCCATCATCGTTACCCCCTCATATCTCCTCTGACTCCTGTATTCAAGGTCTCTTTAGTTCCTCTTAGTTACTTCCTTTCATACGACTACCTTCTTCAGAAAGCCATTTCTGATATCCAGCTTGGGTTCTGTAGGCACCTGATCACTCTTTTTCATAATTATCTATTTGGATGTCTGATACCACCCAACTGTGATTTGATCAGGGACAGTGTCTGATTTTCTTCTGAGTTCACAACTCAGGAACGAATGACACCCTCGGGTCACTACTCTCATCAATTAAGTCTTCTGGATGCTTTCCCTCTGCATCAGTCACTCCTTGCCTTTCAAGTGCTCTCAGTTTTCCTTGAAAGCTTTAGGAAAGAGACTCTGAGACTTCACCCCAGCTGCACTCCCTTGCCCAGTCTGAAAACGCCTACACCAGGTTCTGCCTTAGCTCCGCCCCATCTTGGCTCCTGACCCCGCCCTCACCTCCGCCCCGCCTCCTTAGTCGAGCACACAAGTACGCATGCTCCGTTTTAGCCCTTCTTAGCGTGATGACACAGGCGACGTTGACGTGGTAACGTAGGGCCAGTGGGAGCGTAGATTGCAGCCGAGGGGTGTACTTTTGCTAGTAGTGCGCGGCAGTGGGTCGCGTGGTCCGCCTAGGCGCGCGGTTTGGTTTTGGCACTTGCTGAGTGTGCCTGGAAGTGGGGAACAGAGACGGTCGTTGGGTAGAGCTGGGGGCTGCAGCGCCTGAGGACAGGGCTGCGGCCGTGTATAGGGGAACAGCTGAGAAGGAGGGCCCTTGCCGGCAGGATCCGAACCCGCTGTGGCCGGGGCTGGTCCCGCGGTGACCTGGGGCGGCCGCGAGATGCTCGGGGCCCGGTGTCTGCTTCGAGCCCTGCGCTCCTGCTCCACTGCTCCCTGCCCCAGGCATAGGCCTTCCGCCAGACTGAGCGTACGGGACGCTCTCGGGTCCCAGAACGCGAGTGGGGAGCGCGTTAAAGTTCAGGTGGGTGTGGGGAAAGGGATTTTTCTTTCTTTCTTTAGGGACTTATGTGGCACATCCACACCTAGCGTTACTTTGTGTTGTTGGGTCAGACAGAACGACCAGCAGAGAAAAGTTAGAAAGTATAGGTATAGCGCGAGTTCCTATTTCTCCATTTCCTCGGATACCTGCCGTTACTTTTTGCAAAACTGCTCTAGTGACTGTGAACTTGGTTTTCAAGATACCTGTAAACTTGTTATTCATTCAGGAAAGTGTAAGCGAACAGGGCCCCTTTCTCTTTTTACATCTCATGATATCCGCGGGCATATAGTGGTTGCCTTGCCCTGGCCTCTTGAGGGGAGAAACTTTGTCTTACCTGACTTGATGTTGACGTGACTGGCAGTAAATATTCGTTCTAATAAATCGGGGCTTTGATTCAGCTTTTAGCCACCTTAGTGCCTAAAATTGGGCCTGCGTGTGATTTATGTTTAATAAATTAGGAGAAAGAGTGGAATGTAGCAGTTTGAAAGAGCCCTGGGGTGAAGGTGTGTAAGTTTAAATCTCTCCCACTAAGTAACTTGTTAATTATGAGCATGTTAAGCGCTTAAAACTTAAGTTTCTTTTTATGAAAACAGATAATAGTCCCTACTTTATGGGACTATAAAGAGTAGCCCACAGTCAATAAATGTTAGCCACTATTATTTCCTTCACTCCTTAAAAGAGCAGGTTAAGCAAGGTAGTTGACTGCTTTTCATTAGATTACTAAAACACATTGATAACAGTTATTTTGATATCATCATATATCCTTGCTGTTATTATGATCTGCTCCTCCATACATTTATTTGGGTTTCATATTCTTCCCATGATCCAATTCAAAAAATTGCATGTATCAGTTAATTTAGAATGTATAAATGACACCTTTTGTGTGCTGGTCAAAAGAGAAATCAAAGATGGAAAGAACAGAATTTAGTGCTTACCATCTAATATGGTAGATATCAGCCACTTGTGGATTCGAGCACTTGAAATGTGATGAGCCTGAATTGAGATATGTTGGAAGTTTAAAATACATAATAATTTTGAAGGACAAAAAAGATTGCAAAATCTCTATTTTTCTCTCTCTAAACACACATGCACACATGTGTGCATGTGTGTCTGTCTATGTATATACATCTGTGGGGCTTGTGTTTTTTGTTTATTTGTTTGCAGTACTGGGAATTCAACTCAGGGCTTCACACATGCTATGCAGGCACTCTACCACTGATACATCAACCGTTTTTAAAAAATTAATTTGCCCAGGTTGGCCTTGAACTTGTGATCCTCCTGCATCAGCCTCTTGAGTAGCAGGGATTACAGACAGACATGTGCCACCATGTTTGGCTTCAATATATTTAAATATTGACTTCATGTTGATAGTATTTTGGACATAATTGGTTAATAAAATAAAACTTGAAAATCACTAATGTGGCTCACATTATGTTTCTGCTGGACAGACCTAGTCTTCAGCAGTGTGATTAATATTAATGATCAATATAAGAAGCTGTGAGAAAACAGAGATAGAATTCCTCCTATGAGTAGGTAAGGAAGACTTCTTGTATGGAGTGACATTTGAACTGTGTCCTGAAGGATGTATTCCCCAGATAGAATAATCTAGGATGGAGTGGAAATTGTACAAGGATGTGTCCCCCAAGCAGAGGAACTGGGAATGGGGTAGAAATATCATTCCAGAAAAGTTCATTGAAAAGAACATAAACTTGAAGTAATAACTTGTATTTGAATCCCAGCTGAACTTGTGTTTTAACTTCTCTAAATGTTTCTTCATTTCAAAAAAAGATAATTATGGGACTGGGGTTGTAGCTCAGTGGTAGAGTGCCTGCCCAGCACAGTGAGGCACTGGGTTCAATCCTCAGCACGACATAAAAATAAGTAAATAAAGGCATTATGTCCATCTACGACTAAAAATAAATTTTAAAAAGATAAATATAACCATGTCATTTACTTCTTGCGATAATTAAATAGCATAATATTTATAAAGAACTTTGCACATTAAAAAGTGCTTAATGAATGTTGAATCTTACTAACGAGTAAAAAAGAAGAGAGCAGTGCTTTGGAAAGTACTGTTGATTGAGCATGCCCAAAATGCAGGTGCCTTTGGGAAAGTGTGACGAGGTGAAGTACCTTGTGCATGAGGCGGTGACAATTTATACTATTCATTCTATGGAGCCCTCACAAAGATCAAGGGCTTTCTAATCAAATAGACTTGGGTTCAAGTCTAACCCTTACCAGCAATCTTCAACAAATTACTTTCTCTGAGTCTCAGTTTTCTTGCTTATAAAATGGGTATGACAATCCTTAGAGCTATTATGTGAAGGAATGAGACACTATATGGCGATAGTAAAACATTTGCAGAATTTCAGCTGTGTACTTGGCAATCACTTCAAAATAAGTAAACAGTTTTCTTTCCCTTAAAGCATTATGGATATGTAAGTAAGTGATAGAGAGCTTTAATAAAAGCATCTGTAGGTTATGGCTACAACAGAGAATGGTCAATAGTTTTTCTGGTTAGAATCAGCTCTTGTTTTTCGTAAGCATGAATGTCAACCTGTATTCATTTACTTTACATTTGTGGGACACTTCACAATTGTTTGGTGTCTACTAGAAAACTAGTTATTCCCTCCTAACTCCTATAGTAGTTAAATTTAATTTGGGCATATCTGAGAGAGCTGTTTTAGTGTTACTGGCCTACTTAAAAGCATCTCTCATACTCTGATGTACCTATCATTTAAATTAAGACTATCTTTGAATGTTTGTGTATTACTTAATATGTGTTCATAATGAGACATTTGGGGGAGTTTTTTTTGTTTGTTTTTTTGGTACTTTGTGAATGAATAAAAATCCTGTAAAGATATTTCTAGTCTATATTACATAATCTGGGAATTTGATAAAAGGGAAAAGGCACCAAGATGTAAACCTTGTTATTTGTCATTGTCATTAGAAAAGCCAATATTGAAGAGATTGGTTATATAAATTACATACATCAACTTGATAATATTTGGCAAAAGTTGAAAATGATGAGCTTCATTAACAAAATAGAACAAAAGGTAGAATGGCAAAGGGTGTATCTCCCTATAAGAAAAACCATTTAAAATTATTTGTGCATATTGGTAAACTGAAAGCAGTTCATTTTACGCAGCTGATAATGTTAAGGCAAGATTGATTTTTTTCTTTCATTTAGCTTTCTTTGTATGTATAAAGAAAATATAGAATGTTTTAAGTATTTTAAGCTCACATATAGAAATCTTTCTCTTCTTTAGGGATGGGTTCGATCAGTCCGATCCCAGAAGGAAGTCTTGTTCCTACATGTAAATGATGGGTCGTCTTTGGAAAGCCTTCAGGTTGTTGCCGATTCAAACTTTGACAATAGGTAAGTTAAGTTTTGAGTCCTTTGATTTTTTTTCTTCTTCTCTACTGTTCCCCGCTTCTCTAATCCAATATTCACATTGCCCCTTTGACCTATCTTCCTAAACACATCTATGAAAAATAGCTTTGAAGAAAGTCCAAGTACTTGGAGTCAGTATCCTTAGCTCAGGCTTCTCCTTCTCTAACATCTTCACATGCCTGTAACCCGCCCCTCTACTTTCCATCAGTTTTCCTTCTCTTCTTGCAGCTCCTCTAAGCTGTTCTGCTCCTTTTTACATTCAGGCTTCTAGTCTTGTTGCCACTTCTGCCTAATAAACCTCTTCTTCCCTGTCTTTCCAATCCAGTTTAGCCATCATCATATGTTCCCACCCCTTGACTGTGGTAGGTGACTCTCCTCTTTGGTCCCATACATTCTGTGCCCAGCTCTGTCCTGAAGTGTATTGTATCAGATGGTAATCAACTGAATTATTATTGGATTGCTTCTTTGACTAAGAACTCCTTGAAATTATGAATGATATTTCATTCGTTTTTGTGTTCTCAGCTTCTGGCACAGTGCTGACAAAGTTACCAATTATTGTTTGTTGGATAAATTGAAGAAATTTATATGATTTTGTTGTCGGATGTTAAAACTAACACAATTTTTTTTTTCCCCTAGTACTGGGGCCCACTACCACTGAGCTGAATACCTGACCTTTTTTTTTTTTTTTTTTTGATACTAGGGATTGGACCCAGGGGAGCTTTACCACTGAGCAACATCCCCAGTCCTTTTTATTTTTTATTGTGAGACAGTGAGTTGCTGAGGGTCTCACTAAGTTTCTGAGACTGGCCTTGAACTTGTGATCCTCCTGCCTTAGCTTCCTGAATCACTGGAATTATAGGCATGTACCACTGCACCTGGCTTATTCCAAACCCTTTTTATTTATTTATTTTTATTTTGAGGTGAGGTCTAGTTAAGTTGCCTTGGCTGGCCTTGAATTTGCACTCTTCCTGCATCGGCTTCCCCAATAGCTTGGATTACAGGCATGTGTCATGGTGCCCAACAAAACTAACATCATTTTCATGTTAGGGTATAAGTTATGAAGAATAGAATATTATACTAATTTGTTAAAATAAGAGTGCTTTGGTATTCCAAACATGGTTAGGATTAATTCCACATATTGAATAGGCTCATGGGTCTGAGACAATAAAATTGTTCGGATGTGAAAAGTTTGTAATTTTTTTGATAATATATATCAGTATGGCAATTAAATGGGTATGTCTAATAGTATCTAAATTTTAGAGATTCTGGAAGATGACTACCCACCTCTTTGAGATATTCTCAATGGCCCCCAGGAGAAAATTCATCATATCAATTAGTGCATATGTGAAGTCAGAGCGTCTTAAAACACTTTCAGATTTGGTGTAAGATTTATCAGGTTTTCTCTCCTTGATGTAATGGTGGACAATCTTAAGTTATATAAATTATATATGGATACATTTTAAAAGGAAACAGTGATTTTGCTGAGAAAGAAATCGGAAAAAACCATTTCATTCACAATGACCTTAAAAGATAAAATACTTGGGAATTGATCTAACCAAGGAGATGGAAGATCTCTACAATGAAAACTATAGAACACTGAAGAAAGAAATTGAAGATGACCTTAGAAGATGGAAAAACCTCTCTAGGTAGAGTAGAAGACCGAGATTGAGAAGGAGGAAGGAGGGATGGGAAAGGGGAGGAAATGCAGAATGATTTAACAAAATCACATATGTGCATATATAAATGTACCACAGGGAATTTGGTCTCTCTCTGTGTGTGGAAAGCACCAGTCAAGGATGGATAATAGATGAGCAAGGGGAAGATTTTAAAAAATAAATTTTAAAATATTAAATGTAGCCAGCAAACAAAACTGGGGAATTTCCTGATAAATTTAGTTTGATACAGTTTATTGTATTTATTGTATTATATTTTAATACAGTTTATTAAGGTTTTAATTTATTTTTAATACAGTTTATCACAGCTTTTATAAGCATGCCCAGTCATCCACAATGCAGAGCCATACCAGAGCATTTATCATATTTATTGTAATTATGAAATGTTAGAACTGGAATAGATACATAATCACTTAGTTCACTCTCCTTCTTAATAGATAATTCTTAAAACAAATGAGTGTTCATCACTTTCTCTAAGAGTCATACAATAAATTTGTGGATAAACTTGCACTAGAACATAGACTTACTACCCTGAAGGTAGTCTGTGTGCTCAAGACCATCAGCTGGGTAAATTAAATAAATTGATTAATTTTAAAAAATACATTGTAGAAAAAGTACATGTACTTTTAATTGTCTTAGAAATAGTCTCATGTAATTTTTACCTGGCTTTCCCAAGGATAACATGTTGCTATAGTATGTTCTCAAAACCAGGGAATTATCAACAGAACTACAGACCTGATTTGGATTTCATCAGACCTTACATGTAATCTACAATATGTTAAAAAGCATTTTGACCAACTTATATTTGATACAGATAATTATATAACTTCTTAATTCTAAATAGCTATATGTAAATCCTCAATTTCTTTATTCCCATTTAAAAATGTATGGAATTCATTTTTAAGATTTGGATATACCACAGAGCATCCATAAACTTTGAAGATTCTTTAACTCACTTGAAGGTAAGTACTCTATCATTAATGTTCTAATAGCAAGATTTATATTAAGACAGAAGTTATACTTAATAGCAAGATTTTTATTAAAAGAAAAGTTATATATAATAATATCTTGATTTCTTTGTTATTATAGAGAATTGACTTTTGGGAGTTCTGTAGAAGTCCTCGGGCAGCTGGTACAAAGCCCTTCCAAAAGGCAAAATGTGGAACTGAAGGCAGAAAAAATTGAAGTTATTGGAAATTGTGATGCCAAGGTATGCTTTTGTTCAGGCTATTTAGGCTTAATTTAAAATAATAACAATCTGTTTTAAGTGGGATTATTGGAAAGATGGTACTTAGAACATTTTTCAGTTATGCTTCCCTGATAATTGAAACAGGGCATAGATCCTGTAGAGATAGTAGTAAAAGTATTACAAAGATGACTTAGTCTTATTAGAGAGAGTTGAGCATTAATCTGTGCATCTTTAGTGCCTGTCACAGTTGAACCTCACAGTTTTTATAAGCATGTCTAGTCATCCACAATGCTGGATATAGCCCATACCAGGGCTACGAAGTCCAGTTCTTCAGTGGCATTTTAAAAGGAAACAGTGATTTTGCTGAGAAAGAAATTGGAAAAACCATTTTATTCATAATGACCTTAAAAGATAAAATACTTGGGAATTGATCTAACCAAGGAGATGGAAGATCTCTACAATGAAAACTATAGAACATAGAAGAAAGAAAGTGAAGATGACCTTAGAAGATGGAAAGACCTCTCTAGGTGGAGTAGAATACCGAGATTGAGAAGGAGGGAGGAGGGATGGGAAAGGGGAGGAAATGCTCAAATGTTACTATTGTCTACCATATTGGACAGCATAAGTAGAGAACATTCCCATTTTTCACAGAAAGTTCTACTGATAGTGCTGACCTGGAATGTTGTAGTGCTGAACAGACAAGAAATTCTATATTAATGCGTGTTTATACCTGTTTTTGAAGACTCTGTTAGTGCTTTATATATATATAAGCCTGGTAAAGAGGTTAGAGGGAATAAAATAAAAAGTCATCAATCCAATTCTTTAAATTTACAAAGATGGAGAAAATAAGGCCCACCCTGGTAAAATTGGTGGCACATCTGAAATTTATTTTCTAGCTATTTGACTCCTCCTGTCTTTGCCATAATTACCTTCAAATGTTTAATATGCAAAAAAATGAGAAATTTTAAGAAAATTGCATCATTTAAATTCATTTTGGTATTTTAGAATAATAGGAAAAATTAAATGTAAGGAAGTAAGAAAGAAAATGGGCTAATTTTCTTTTAAAATGTCCTTCTGAATTATTTTCCAAGAAATTACAATTGAAAAATTGTGAAATAATTTAGAAATCGAGAGGAATTGAAAAGGTAAATATTTTTGCTTTTGCTTTCTTAGAAGGATCTATGATTGTTAAAAATTTACTATGTGTTTTATTGTTCTTGAATTATTCTCCCTTGGCTTCTGTTGCTGTTGTTACCTTCTCCTTGCCTTGTTTTTCTTTCTTTTTTTCAAGTCACCAACTGTTTTATTAAGCAATTATTAGGACCAGAAATCTATAGCCATTAATTACATTACTAAGACTGTTTTTTAGCTGTTTTTCTTTGCATATGAGAATTTATACTTGAAAAAATATAGGCTTTATTGAATAAGATGTTTCTGAATTGTAAAAGTATTTTTTATGCATGGTATACAAATGAGTTTATTTTAAACATAAATAAAATTGACAATAGTTTATATTTGTAGTCAAATGCATTTGTGGAAAGGAATTATAATTCATCCAGAAAATTATTTAGGAGTTCTCCATTAGTATCTAGTTTAAATAATGAGATAAGACATTTTGTTTATGTATAAATTTAACTTCAGAGCCTTATTAAGTACTTTCTATCCCAAAGACACTTTTAAATAAACTTTTATAGGCAAAGAAACTCCATGATATTGTCAGATTTTTCTATATCAATTTTTTTGCATATGAATACCAAACTTTAATTTTAGCAAAATAAAGTTTAACGATTTAATGGCTTCTCTGAGTCTATAATGTTTACAAAGTAAAACTTTTAGGCAGGGTATGATTTTGTAAACTCTTTACCTGGAAGTAACTTAAAATTTTATGGCACTAAGCTAAATTTCTTTCAATAAACAAAGATTAATAACATATTTAACCACTTGGGAACACCTAGTTATCAATACAATTTAGATCTAGATAGGATAGTTTCCTTTTGAGGTAATCATATTTCTAAATTTCTGATTTGTTGTTTGTAAATCTCACTACCACAGGTTAAGCAAAGCTTATCAGAATGATGAACACTCACCTATTAGATACAGATATTTCCATGTTAGGGTTTCACTGGCATAACTGTATTTTTTATGTAAACTAAACCAGTCTTTTTAAGGAACTATCTATACAAAATAATCAAGGGTATGAAACAACCTCCAAGGAAACAAACTTTGGGTTCTTACAATTGCATGATGAGGAAAAAAATTGAGAAATGAACATTTTAAAATAACATGGACTACAATTAGTACTTTATGCTTTCCTCTAGGACTTCAAATGGAGATTACTCATAAAATAAAAATCAGACTTTTATAAACACTAAAATCTGTCATATATAGATTGGTAACAACTAAGCTTCTTTCTTATTCTCTCAATATAAATAATTAATGAATCAATAATTTTCTTCCTATTCTGAAAACCAAGACAATGCAGTTGATTTTAGATTTAGCATTTATGTTTTTTAAGAATCACTCAAACATATACAACACTAATACTTTCAGAGACTCATAGGAATATGAAAAAAAAATTTTAATTATCGCAGTTTTTACCTTTAGAGAGTTCTAAGACTTAAAAAGATGGTTTTCTTTTTCATCAATATAATAATAATGTATAGAAAAAAAGATGAGAGATTTTTGTTATGCAAGCAAATAATTGTGCTTCAGACTGGAATCATTTTTGAATATGTTGTTTTTCCTCTAATTACAACCAGCAAGAAGGCAGTTTTGTGAACTAAAATATCATCCCCATACTTTCAGACAATTCTTTTTTGTATGATGAAGCCTAAGCAATCCCTCTATAGACACAGCTCTTTGGAGCAGTTGAAATCTCTCTTTCACTACTCTTCTTCTGGTAGACACAGTGAAATCAGCTGTAGAAGTCTATATCTCAGGGGAAGGGAGTTCATGAATGGAGAGGCATACATCTCCTCTAAAGGCAGTTGTATCTGTGCAGTTTTCTTCTCAAGGCCAAATTAGCTGGTGTCTGTCTGTTGATAAGGAGACTCGTCATAAAAATTAAAAACACAAAATAATTTGTTGAAATCTCATTTTCCTGCCACACGCAAGTGGAGCAGTTGCTCTTAAAGTAAACAAAGCAATCTGTAAATAGTCTCTGCAATCTGTGTTTCTGTCCTCACATTCTAATGACAAACCTCAGAGAACTGCCAGCTGCATTTTCCAGAAAGGTTAATGATCACAGCAGACACAGTTACGGTACACTGTGCGGTGGTCAGAGACTCCCTCCTCCTTCCCTTCTTCAGTTCAGCGTCATTTAAAGTATTTAGGCTTTAGGGATTCTGAACCCCCAACAATCCCAGATATATTCCTGTGGCTACATTTTCTTCTTGGCAAGCATGTTTTACTTGTTTCTGCGTACTATAAAAATCAGTGTGTGCACCAGACCTAAAAAGACGAGACTAAAGCAGTGTGCATGTGTAGCTCTTATTCAGCTTTTGTATTATCTTTCTTTTGAGTCTTTGGTTTCTGTCTGAAAGGATATGACTTTTTAATCTTATAAGTGTGGACATGGAGAAATATTTCAGGTTGGAGCCTTAAGTTCCTTTAAACTTTTTTTGTAGATTTTTAGTACTCTGCTAAATGAAAGATAGCTGTTGACTGTTCCTCATGTTCTTAGACCCAGTGACATGTTGATAAACAGTAATAAATTGGCACTAGCTGATATGATTGTGGGTTTTCAAGACATTTGTGTGATTTTAAAATTGAACCCCAGCTGTGTGTGTACAATGGTATAAAACGTAATCTTTAATATCTACAATATTCTGAACTCCTGTGTGCCAAACAGTGGATTGTTTTGCATAATTATATGCTTAACCTCTATTTGTAAGAAGTCACAGACAGCTAGTGGATAGAAACTTGGTAAATAATAGATAAGCCTCAGTGATATTAATTAATTTAGCTAATAAATACTAAAACTGGCTTCAAACCCACATCTCTCTGAATCCATCCCACCATTCTTCTACCTGGTAAAAATTATGTGGGCTATATAATCTGTTATATTAAAAAATAAAGGAGGAAAGCATCTTATTTTCTCTGAAGCGTTACTATTTAGGAAATGCTCTGGAAACTGGTTTTATAAAACAGGTTTTTTTGTTTGTTTGTTTAGCTTCTAATTTTTTCCTTGTTTATTGGCAGGCATTCCCTATCAAATATAAAGAGAAGCATCCTCTGGAGTACATGAGACAATATCCTCACCTTAGGTGTAGGACTAACGCTCTGGGTTCTATATTGAGGGTTCGCAGTGAAGCCACAGCTGCTATTCATTCCTTTTTTAAGGTAAGGTACCCTACTTCCAGGTATTCTGTCTTGTGAAGAGGTTGGATAATTGTAACACTGGAACATTTTCCTGAAAGTTCTGTTAGTTGTTTGTTCCAAGTACCTTTATTTATTTGGTTCAGGATCAAATGTCACAGGTGTACATATATAGTTTAAGAGCTTATTAAGGAATAAATGCTGTAAATATTTAAAGTATATAATCTGATAAATTATGAACCTATGAAATCTTCACCACAACTGAGATGATGAGCATATCCATGACCTTGAAAGTTTATGTGTCTGTAACATCTTTATTTTATCTTCATTTTTAAATGACACTTTTTCTGGATACAGAATTCTACATTGACAGGTTTTTTTCTTTAAGTACTTCAAGGTTGCCATGATACGTCTTCTCATTTGCATTACTTCCAATGAGAAATCTGATGTCATACTTATCTTTAATCCTCGATGCACGCCTTGTCTTTTTTTCTTTGTCTGACTTTAAGATTTTTTCTTTATCATTGATGGTTTAGTCAGCTTTTTTTGCTACTGTGACTAAAAGACCTTACAAGAAAAATTTTAGAGGAGGAAAAGTTTACTTGGGGTTCACAGTTTCACAGGTCTTGGTCCATAGATGGCCAACTCCATTGCTCTTTGCCAGAGGTGAGGCAGAACATCATGGTAGAGGGTGTGGCAGAAGAAGGCAGTTCAGAACAGGACAATCAGGAAGCGAAGAGAGCTTTACTCGTCAGAGAAAATATATATCCCAAAGGCTGTATATGTGACCAGTGACCTGTCTTCTCCAGCCACCACCCTACCTGCCTATAGTTACTACCCCATTAATCCACCTAAATGGGTAATGCACTGATTCAGTTAAGCCTATGCATAGCCCAATCTAAACTTTCTTGCATTGTCTCACATGTGAGTTTTTGGCGGACACCTCATATCTAAACCATAACAACTGTTTTGGGTTTTTTTTTATCAATTTGTGATGTGCCTTGATGCAGTTTTCTTTGTTTTTCATTCAGGGTTTATTGAATTTCCTCGATCCTAAGTTTATCATCTTCATGAAGTTTTTTTTTTTTTAGCAGTATTGGTACAAATATTTTTCTGTTACTTTCCTCTTTTGGGAACTGAAATTATCCATATATTAGTGCATTGATGCTATCCATAGCCCACTGATGTACTTTTCTTTTTTTAAAATCCTTTTTTCCTGTGTTTATTTCTTTTGGATATTTTCCCTCCCTTTTTGATGGTTTCTGTTGGTTTTTCTTTATGCTTACTAATCTTTTTTCCTATCCAGTGTATTTTTTTCATCTGAAACATTATACATTTCATATTTATTTTTATTTATTTATTTTTAAATATTTATTTTTTAGTTGTAGTTGGACACAATATCTTTATTTCACTTATTTATTTTTTTGTGGTGCTGAGGATCGAACCCAGGGTCTCACATGTGCGAGGCCAGCGCTCTACCACTGAGCCACAACCCCAGCCCCTACATTTCATATTTAGAATTCACTTTGGGCTTTTTTATTATTATTATTATTCCTTTTGTGTCTACTTAACTTTTTGAGCATATGGAATACAGTTTTAATTTGAAAACCGTTTTTATGTCCTTTTAATTTTAACATGTCAACTATGGGTCAGTTTTGATTGATGGATGGATTAGTTTCATGGCTTATATTTTCCTGTCTTTTTGCATATCTGCTGATTAATGCCAGACATAGTGAATTTTACTTTGGGTGCTGAATATTTATAAAGCTTCTTGAGCTTTGTTCTGGTATGCAGTTGTTAGTTGAAAACTGTTGATCCTTTTGGGTCTGCTTCTGTTTTTTGTTTAGCAGGTTTGGAACAGTGTTTAGTACTAAGTATTTCCTGCTACAAAGTACTATACCTAGTGCCTTATGAACTGAGTTTTTCTAATCTGGCTTGTGAGAACATCCAGCCAGCATGTAAACACTGTGTGCTGTTCCCTCTAATTTTTTCAGTTCTTTCCCCAGTTTTGGATAGTTTCCTCCATGTAGGCACTCACCAGTTCTCTACCTAATACTCCTGGGTGACCCTCTGCAGATCTCTGGAGTTCTCTGTCCAGTTCTCTCTTCTTTGATACTATGTCCCATGAACTTCAGCCACATTGGTCTCAACTGTCTCTCCTTGAATTAGGGATTCTTCTGGGCTTTACCTTATCACTGTCTCTCTATGCTGTGACCTGAAAGAGCTCAGTATCATAAGCTGGCTGACTGGTAGGGCTCAACATTCGCTTCCCATCCCTTAGAGATCAGTATCTTTTTTTTTTTAATATTTATTTTTTTAGTTGTACACAATACCTTTATTTTGTTTATTTATTTTTATGTGGTGCTGAGGATAGAACCCAGGGCCTCGCATGTGCTAGGCAAGCGCTCTACCACTGAGCCACAACCCCAACCCCAGATCAGTATCTTTTATTGTCTTATATCCACTATCGTGAAAATCATTGTTTCATCTGGGTTGCTTTTTATTTTTATTGTTTTTTTTTTTTTGCTTTATGATTGTTTCAAGTGGGAAAGTGAATTCAATTCCTGTTTCTCCATCTTGGTCACAGCTTCCCTTGAGCTATATCCAAATTCATGCAGTCCCAGTCCAGCTGTAGCTCACCAAGAGAGTTCATGCTCTTTAAAAAGCTCCATCAGCTGGGCACAGTGGTGCAAGTCTAAGTTTGAGGTCAGCCTCAGCAATTTAACGAGGCCCTAGCAATTTAATGAGACTCTATCTCAAAATCAAGAAATAAAGCTGGCACAGTGGCGCATGCCTGTAATCCCAGCAGTTGGGGAGGCTGAGATGGGAGGATCAAGAGTCCAAAGCCAGCCTCAGCAAGGGCAAGGCGTTAAGCAACTCAGAGAGACCCTGTCTCTAAATAAAATATAAAATAGGGCTGGGGATGTGGCTCAGTGCCTGAGTGCCCCTGAGTTCAATTCCTAGTACCAAAAACAAATACATAAAAGTTAAGAATAAGAAGCTCCATCAGAGTTAATTTCTGTTGAAACTGACAAAGAACACCATGCCTTTAAGGCACCTACTTAAAGAAAAATAAATCACATTATACAATGTTATCCCATTGTAATTTGAAAGAGTCTGTTTACATATGCTCTCAGACTTTCTTATGCAACTTCCATATGGCTTTTCAGTAGTGCTGAACCACACAAACATAAAATCTGTTCAGATCTAAAAATATAGTGTTTCAACAGTTGATAAATATTTCAACAGTTGATAAAGTGGACCTGCTTTAATACTGAAACAATTTTATGGATTTTTTTGGCCACAAGGTGGTAGTATTGGCAATCCATTGACAGGTTAGACTTCACCTCCTTCATACATTTCTTTATTACTTGAAGCCTTAACAGATATGCAAATAATTAAATAAGAGGATAAACTAGAAAATGTAAAGTAAGAAAAGTGCTTGAAAATAATTTGAATTTTAACACTATTGGTGATAGTTATAAAGGTAGATACTTTTTGAGTGCTATAAATGCATTTTTTAATTGTCATGCCCTGAAAAATATAATCCTGATACGTCATTCTATGTTATCCACTTGTATGTGAGACATTTAGGATTGACTTGTTTAAAGTAGTCACTTGTAGCGCTCTAGGACATATAAAATAATAATTACATATCATCTATTTGGTACAGTTTCTTCTACTTTAAATTCCCTAAAAGATGTTAAGCTTTAAAATGTAAAATTTTCATACATTTCAAATTTATCAATAAAAATTGAGAAATGTAGGAAGAAATAGAAACTTGAGAGGTACTTTAAGTTAGGATGTTTTGAAAATCTAGAGTTATCTTTTGGTTTTAGTATTGAAAATATTTTGTATTTAACTTGGTTTGCTCATAAAATTGATACACATGCCATGTGCTAAAACTTGGCTGTCTATGGTCCTCAAAATGTGTCATTTAGAAGAGCCAAATTTTTCAAATAACTGAAGTTTTTCTCTTTGGGCCCATTTTTTTGTAAGTGTTCCTAGAATGGATTGTACGCTTGCCTGTCTTTTTCAAATGAAGCAGTAAAAGACTGCTGTGCCTTTCAGGGCTTGTCTCCTCTGGATGGCAGTCCTTCAGAGCCTGCCATGGAGTGGAGTGGTTTTAAATCCCTATGTTGGATGGCCTGTGTATTGGAGTGCCTGTGACTGCTTTTTATGTTTTTTTTTTTTTTTTTTTTATGGTTTTTTTTGGACTCCTCTTGCTGTTGATTTTTGTTGCCAGTGGCATGCTAGTGTCTAGCAATTACTGTCACATTTCTGTTGATGGTGATTAAATAATGATATTTATTTCAGTTAAGTGTAAAGGGAAAATATCCACTAGTTTTCTGAGTGATGTGTATGGGCCTTAGTATGTGAATTTTGTAGTTTTTGGATACTCAGAACCTTCTAAAATACCTGTTTCTAGAATGTGTATCAAATTGTTTCAATCTGGAGGTGGCAGGTGGAGTCTAACAATTGGGTAAAGCATTTACTTCCACTTTTGGCTCCTTTTCTGGCCCTCATACCTCCATTTAGAAACCCCTTTGCTCTGGGGTGGTATAAGTACCTAATACTGGTAGCCTCTCTAGAGCAGATACTGACAGCATTCCTCCTTTCCTTGCACTTGACTTTCATTTTATCTGTTTTTCCTCCCACTTTCTCTTTTTTGGACTTTGTGTACACTGCTGTATTGTTCTTCCTTTGTATTCTCATCTATAGCTCTTTGGTAATGTTAGAGACTTCGATAAGCTTTGCTAGCAGCATTAAAGCTTAAAAAGCTATAGTGACCCATTTTGTAAAGGTTTGACGTTAAGTATTAAAAATGGTTCCTACTCCTGTGTGACTTTTGTTTTGAATCCCATAATTATTGACCTCAGGTTTACAGTGCTGTTCCTGGTGGCATTTGACCAGTTCTAACTTTGATAATTACATTCAGCAATTAAATTTTCTCCTCTCGCTCTACCTCCCCTTCCCCACCCTCATTTCCTTTGAATTTTTCACTTCCTTTCTTTGTTTACTCCACTCATGCTCATAGTTGCTTACATTCATGTGGAATAAATGATTCATGTTCATAATTCTTGGCTCCTAGGAGATAAAAATTTTATGAAGTAATGTTATTGATTGTATTTCCATGGTTCTCTATAATGTGCTCTGTGCAGCACTTCTAGGCACATTGCTCTCAGGTTAAGTACATATTTGAATACTTTCTGGGGCTTAATTTATAGCTTGACTATTTAATCAGCCTATATCATAAGTCATTGGCTAAATATAATTATAATTATAAAAGTTCATATTTGGGAGATCCCTGACAATGCCTGGAGATGTTATATTCTACTGGTGATAGGCAGAATTTAGCATAGATGTGAGTGTATTGTATTGATTTCAAGGCTAGAATTTTGCGTTAAACACATGCTATTCTGGCTTTGTATTACAAATTTATTTTTAGCTACCTTCTACATCTATACTGACTATAACCTTAGCCTTCATACATAGTCACAATGAAAGAAGTGTAGCCTTGAAGTTGATGGGTTATTTCAGTCCTACTAGCAACAGCTTTTGTGGTTTACTAATGGAAATAGTCTCAGTTTTGATCGGAAGAACTGCCGTTGGGCGCCTTGGTGATGGATGGACTTGATGCTGCTCAGAATACTCTTCAGGCCAAGGAAATACACTGTCTGTGCTACATGCAGTGCATTGTGCCATAGATCGAATGACAGAGACTTCCCACTAGTCATTTCTGCCTCTCTTGCTGTGCATTTCTTTAGTCCCTATTAGCCTTAATTTTTCTTTTTGATGGTTTATCACAGTTGAGGTTTTATTCTCACATAACTGAACTTCATATTGATCTCTTTGTATTCCCTGAATAATACAGGCAGCATTGCTATGCATTAACCTTGGTTGAGTGTGTGTGTGTGTGTGTGTGTGTGTGTGTGTGCGCGCGCGCGCGCACATGCGTGCATGTACATGTGTGTTTGTTGAACCATCACCAGTAACTTAGAGAAGTAGAAAATGGAGGGAATAGCAATACAGAGCCTGGGCGCGGGGTTACAACCTTGGCTTAGCCACTGACTATTTATGTGGCTTTTGGCAATTTACTAAATCTCTCAGGGACTCAGCTTTCTTATCTTTGAAATAAAGATATTGGAGAACTTAATTTCTAAGTCTGTTCCAAATCGAAAAAATTTTGTGCTTCTGTGCGTAGTAAAATACTCAACCATCTTTCAATAACCTCATATTTGGAAGGTTGGGGGGATTTGATGTGGCATTCTCAGAGTTCCATTTTAATAGTATAACAACACAGTGTATATTCTTGGAATTTTTTCATGTGCAGACATCTTGAAAAGAGTGTTTTTCTTTTCCTTCCAGAACAGTGGTTTTGTGCACATTCATACTCCAATAATTACATCCAATGACTGTGAGGGGGCTGGAGAGCTTTTCCGAGTTGAGGTGAGTTCTATTTCCCATCTTGGAAAAATATTGTTGTTTGATATTTTTCTCCTGAGGGTTTGTTTCAATTTATTTATTTATTTGTTTGTTTGCTTACTTACTTATTTATTTATTTTTGTAGTGCTGGGGATTTTGCATTTGAGGCAAGTACTCTACCAACTGAGCTATATCCCTAACCCCATTTTAAATTTAATAAGAAGACCATAGGTAGCACCTGAAATTGATTGTAGTAATTCTTAATATTCATTACAACTGCTCTGACTCCCTATCCTACTAGCCATATTACTAATACTGTGACTAAAAGGAGTAAATTTTTAATTTAGTACTCTACTTGCTTTCCTTAAGCCACTGAAATGGTTAATTAGAGAAATTTAGAGATTAATAAGGATTATAAGATATTCTGCAAATTCAACCATCAGTTGATGCTTGAACATAAATCATGTTTTTAAAGATGGATAAAAGGGCTGGAGTTGTGGCTCAGCAGTAGAATGCTCACCTAGCATATATGAGGCACCAGGTTCCATCCTCAGCACCACATATAAATAAATAAAATGAAGGTATTGTGTCCACTTACAGCTAAAAAAAGTATTTAAAAAGATGAATAAAATAGAAAAGTATACATACAAATATCATTTTCTTTTTCAGATTCTTTTTAAAAAATTACATTTTCATAAGAAATGATTTGTGTATATACCCCATTAAGGTTTTTAGTTTAATTCTTTGTTTAACAACCATTTTGGATTTCCTACTATGTGTCAGGTACTGTCAGCCTGCCCTTCTTGCAGGAAAAAAAAATTTCCAACTTTTCTTATAGTCAGTTGAAAGCCTTTCATTTATTAGTTTTACAGCTGAAAAAGTCATTAGCTAGTCACATACTGATAGACAAAGAGAACTAAATTGATGAGTTGTGCTTTTTGTATTTTATTTATTTGCTGAATTCTTTAACTCTAGTAAATATCAAGGTGGTTCTTTAAACATTCGGTTGATTTTATTAGCTGACAAGATGTGTATATAACTGCTTTCTCAGTTTTAGGGCTTTCTGGCTCTTGATAACCATGCTTTCTCTTTATATTTTTGAACAAAGTTTTCATTGGAAAAAGTTGTCCTGACGTATTAAAGTCATTATTATTAGGAATAGTAATCAAATGTTGTCTTTCTTCATACTTGAAGAAATCTGGATGGTAGTTAACCTTCTGGAAAAAGCAGAATTAAAAAACCTGTTGAATGTTTAAAGTGGAAGTGTTAGCATCCATATATGAGTTCAAAGAAGTTAGCAAATGACAAAATAATAGTGTATTCTAAAAAACATTCTTTTCTAGGTGTTTATTTTCTCTTTGTGAATATTGAAGGGAAGAAAAATTACTTAACCTTAAATGCATTTCATGATCCTTTTATCTAAACTATGGAATGTTAAAAAACAGAGAAGCAAAAGTATAATTTCAAGGAGTTTTTACAAATAATAAGGGAATTTTAAAAGAGACCCAAATTAAACAAACTTAAATAATGATAAATTGGGAGATAATTTCTATACTACCAGGAAAATTTAAGTAGATCTGAGTGATTACAGTCTGTGTATTTTGATTGCTAAACAACCAAAGGAAAGTTACTGCATAAATACGAATAGGAAGAGGAAAAAAATGTATTTCTAAAGCTAAATAAATGAAAAATGAAGTTCATATCATTTCAGGGCCAGAGAGAGGAATTTTACATAATGGAGTTAGAGTACTAGAAAAGACATGCTCTTGAATTCATTGATCCTACTATAGTCAGGGTCTAGATCAGATTTCAGCATCTGTGACTTTTGTGTTATGTATGGCCTGCTATCTTTGTTGCTTTCAGAAGTTCAGATACCAAGACTCACCTTTTGCTCTGCCTTTGTAAGCAGTATTTTTTCTTATTTTCACCTCATACACCTTACACACCTGTGTCCTTACAAGATTCATTCTTAATTTCCTCCTGGCTACTAGTAGAGGCATAGGGGTATGAATGTTGGCAACCACTTTTAGGGAAGTGGGTCTGAAGAAGTGGAACTTTTGTATTTAAATTCTTGAATTCTTGCTTCTCTACCAGGTGTGGTGGTGCACAATTGTAATACCAGCTATTTGGAAGGCTGAGGCAGGTTCAAGGCCAGTCTGGACAATTTAGCAAGAAGACCCTGTCTCAAAAAGAGCTGGGGACATAGTTTAGTGGTTGAGTGTCCTGGGTTCAATCCCCAGTAACACCCCGCCTCAAAAAAAAAAAAAAAATCTTGCTTCATTTAACAGCCTTCTTTTTTCCTGTGACAGCATTGAAGTGTCAGTAATCATTTTTAAGATAAAAATGGCTAATAGAAATTTAGGTTTGAGGGTATCAGTAAGAGGTGACCTTAAAACCTTAAAAAGTATAGTAAGAACTTAAACTTCTAATACTCTTATTGAGAACTGAATATATGCCTTATCATTTTTGTTTTCTTTTCCACATTTCCTCATTTACGACTGTGGATATTAAGATTTGGGGACCACTGAGTAGCTGTAAGAAGTCACATTCAAGGCATTTATTTGTTTTTCAGCAGACATTTGATACCTCTGTGTTCAAGTGCTATGCTAAATGTTATGAGGGATAGAAAGACGTAATTGAGGTTCTGGCCTATAAACCTGCTGACTTGGCAGGATTTGATAAAGTAAGGAACATGCTTTTTTTTTTTAATCCTTGATATTATTTATCATGCATTTATTATTTGTATACTTTTTCCTCTTTGTCTTAAGGTCCTAGCTGAGTTTCCAAAATTATGATTGGTTTTTACAATCCTGAAGCAACTATAGACTGTTCCCAACTTAGGATACTTCAACTTACTGATTTTTTAATGTCATGATGGTACAAAAATGATAGGCATTCAGCAGAAACCATACATTGGTTTTGGTTTTGTGGTGCTGGGAATCGAACACTGAGCTACTATTCTCCAGCACAGAAACCATACTTTGAATTTTGATCTTTTTCCCAGGCTGTCAATACGTGATACGAATACTCTCTCATGATGTTGGGCAGCAGCTGCAAGCCACAGTTTCCTGTCAGCCACACGATCTTGGGGATAAACAACGATACTCTACAATGTACTATGTGGCTCAGCTGTGATGTTCAGTGTATTAGGAGCATTGAATACATTTTCAATTTATGGTATCTTCAATTTATGATGGGTTTATCAGAGTGAAATGCCATCAGAAATTCAGACATATCTGTAATTTGTTTCTGAGAAGATACAAGAGAAGGCAAGAATTAGAGCTGTGGCAGATTAGAAGTTGATGAGGAATAGGTGAGACTATATATATTTGAGGTTACAGTATTACCAATTATAAATGATATGACATCTATAGCAAAATATTGTCAGGGAGAATTGAGTTGGTCAGAAAAATCTTCAAAATGAACATGTGATTTAATTATATCTTAGGAAAGGTATTCCCAGTAAGGGGAACAATGTGAGAAGAATTGGAAAGTTAAGTTGAGCTGAAGGGGTTTTATTAGACTCTGAGTGAACAGATTTGAAGGTTCATATTGGCAAATTATAGAAAATAAAGGTGGCTAGCTTTAAGAATGAGGTTATGGAGCAGTTTGGGGTTTTTTTTGTTGTTGTTGTTAGTTGGTTGGTTGGTTGGTTGTTGTTGTTTAAGGAAAAAAATGTTTTGAGACATGTTTTACATACTATGACAGTTACCCACTTATATCTATACCACTCCCTAGTTTTTAGTATATCCAGAAAGTGGTGCCAGCCATTCACCACTTTCTAACTTGAAGGCATTTTCATCACTCCGAAATAAGCCAATGTATTTATTAGCAGTCTCTTCTCATTCTTACTCCCAGCTCTGACCACAATGCTACTTTCTATAGATTTGCCTCTTCTGGAACACCTCATATAAAGGGATTCATATGACATATGGTCTTTTGCATCTGACATCTCTGATTTAACACAGTTTTTGAGGTTCATCCATGTTGTATATGTGTCCTTTCTTCATTCCTTTCTATATCAAACTGGTATTTCATTGTGGGGATGTACTATTTTTTTAATCCATTTATCAGTTAATGGACATTTGTGGTGTACTACTGCTGAGAACATTTATGAAAAGATTCTATGGATGGAGATAAACATTATCTCGTTTGTTTTGGAAGAAATTTAGGGGTAATATGGTAACTGTGTTCAACATTTTGAAAAATTTCCAAACTATTTTCCAAGGAGGCTATACCATTTTACATTCCCACCAGCAGCATATGAGGGTTCTAATTTTGTTGTATCATTGCTTATGCTTGTTATTTTTTATGTCTTTGATTTATAGTAATCCTAATGAATGCAAAGTGGTATCCCATTGTGGTTTTGATTTGCATTTGCCTAATGACTAAGGGTGTTGAGCATCTTTTCACATTGACCATTTATATATCTTCTTTGGAGAAATATCCAAGTACTTTGCCCATTTTTTAAATTGGGTCCTTTGTCTTTTTGTTGTTGATTGAGTCACAGGAATACTTTTATGTATTGAACATACAAGTCTTCCCAACCCTCAGCAGTGTAAAGGCTGTGATGTTGCCCTCAGGCACAGGCTTGGTGTACCCACAATCGCCCAGAGATGGCACTTCTTTGGACAGGGTTTCCTTTGGCTGTTTCTTCCCCTGACCACATGTAGTGTGATTGCTCCAATGTTTTAACAGTGTCCTAGAGCATAAACTTTATCTCAAACTGGATCCAGTCAATTTCAAACTCCTTTAAGGGGATAGTTTTCAAAATCAGTGTGTGAGATTTATTGTGACCTTGAAAGGGCTCTTTAGCTTTTCCAGTATGTCTCTGGCACACCAATAGATCTACAGTTTAACCTTTATCTCCAACGGATCTGCCAATCTCTGATTACCTTTTACCAAATCACCAGTGTTGGAGAGAACCCTTCAGTTAGAGAAGTTTTCCACACTCTTTTGCAAATAAAGTCAGTGCCTTTGAGGAGGGATCCAACCTCTATTTTATGGCCTGATACCCTGCCCAG